GGGTCCTGAGGGGAAACCTGAGGGGAAACCCGAGCGGAAACGTGAGGGGAAACCTGTGGGGAAACTCGAGGGGATGGGATCGTGAGGGGAAAGGTGAGTGGGATCGTGAGGGGAAACCTGAGGGGAAACCCGAGGGGAAAGGGCAGTGGGGTCCTGAGGGGACAGGTGAGTGGGATCGTGAGGGGAAACCTGAGGGGAAAGGTGAGGGGAAACCTGAGGGGAAAGGTGAGTGGGATCGTGAGGGGAAAGGTGAGTGGGATCGTGAGGGGAAAGGTGAGTGGGATCGTGAGGGGAAACCTGAGGGGAAACCCGAGGGGAAAGGGCAGTGGGGTCCTGAGGGGACAGGTGAGTGGGATCGTGAGGGGAAACCTGAGGGGAAAGGTGAGGGGAAAGGTGAGTGGGATCGTGAGGGGAAAGGGCAGCGGGGTCCTGAGGGGAAACGTGAGGGGAAACGTGAGGGGAAAGGGCGGCGGGGTCCTGAGGGGAAACCTGAGGGGAAACTCGAGGGGAAACGTGAGGGGAAAGGTGAGGGGAAAGGGCGGCAGGGTCCTGAGGGGAAACCTGAGGGGAAACGTGTGGAGAAAGGGCAGGGGAGTCCTGAGGGGAAACCTGAGAGGGATCATGAGGGGAAAAGTGAGGGGGAACCTCAGGGAGGTCTTCAGGAGAATCATGAGGGGAAAAATGAGGGAAAACCTGAGAGGAAAGGGGAGCGCCACGCCCTACACCTACCCAGGTACGGAGCTGAAACACCCCAAAATAACCCTGAAATGTCCCCTGAAAACAGCCCAAAATAGCCCTGAAATGTCCCTGAGAACAACCCAAAATCAGTGTAAAACTGTCCCCAAAATAAACCTGAAAACGCCCCAAAACCAGCCCCAAAATGTCACTGAAAACGCCCCACAATAACCCTGAAATATCCCCTGAAAACACCCCAAAAGAACCCTGAAATGGCCCTGAAAACACCCTAAAATCAGTGTAAAAATAGCCCTAAAATAGCCTTGAAAACACCCTAAAATCAGTGTAAAAATATCCCCAGAACAACCCTGAAAACGCCCCAAAACCAGCCCCAAATTTCACTGAAAACACCCCAAAATAACCCTGAAAACATCCCAAAATAATCCTGAAATGTCCCCTGAAAACATCCTAAAATCAGTGTAAAAATAGCCCCAAAATAACCCTGAAAACGCCCCAAAACCAGCCCCAAAGTGGCCCTGAAAACACCCCAAAATAACCCTGAAAACACCCCAAAATAATCCTGAGAACACCCCAAAGTCAGTGTAAAACTATCCCCAAAATAACCCTGAAAACACCCTGAAATATTCCTGAAAATATCCTAAAGCCAGTGTGAAAATAGCCCTAAAATAGCTCTGAAAACACCCCAAAATATCCCTAAAAATACCCCAAAACACCCCTACAAATTCCCCAAAAATATCCCTGAAAACATCCTAACACCGGCCCCCCAAAATTCCCCAATAAACCCTTCAGCAAATACTCGGGGATGATCAACCAGGCCACGCCCTACACCTACCCAGGTAGGGAGCTAAAAACACCCCAAAATAACCCTGAAAACGCCCCAAAACCAGCCCCAAAGTGGCCACCTACCCAGGTAGGGAGCTAAAAACACCCCAAAATCAGTATAAAAACATCCCAAAAACAGCCCCAAAATGTCCCTGAGAACACCCCAAACCCTTCAGCAAATACTCGGGGATGATCAACCAGGCCACGCCCTACACCTACCCAGGTAGGGAGCTAAAAACACCCCAAAATCAGTATAAAAACATCCCAAAAACAGCCCCAAAATGTCCCTGAGAACACCCCAAACCCTTCAGCAAATACTCGGGGATGATCAACCAGGCCACGCCCTACACCTACCCAGGTAGGGAGCTAAAAACACCCCAAAATCAGTATAAAAACATCCCAAAAACAGCCCCAAAATGTCCCTGAGAACACCCCAAACCCTTCAGCAAATACTCGGGGATGATCAACCAGGCCACGCCCTACACCTACCCAGGTAGGGAGCTAAAAACACCCCAAAATCAGTATAAAAACATCCCAAAAACAGCCCCAAAATGTCCCTGAGAACACCCCAAACCCTTCAGCAAATACTCGGGGATGATCAACCAGGCCACGCCCTACACCTACCCAGGTACGGAGCTGAAACACCCTGAAATGGCCCTAAAAATACCCCCAAATCAGTGTAAAAATAGCCCTGAAAACACCCTAAAATCAGTGTAAAAATATCCCCAAAATAACCCTGAAAACACCCAAAACCCTTCAGCAAATGCTCGGGGATGATCAACCAGGCCACGCCCTACACCTACCCAGGTAGTGAGCTAAAAACACACCAACATCAGTATAAAAACACCTCAAAAACAGCCCCAAAATGTCCCTGAAAATGTCCCTGAGAACAGCCCCAAACCCTTCAGCAAATGCTCGGGGATGATCAACCAGGCCACGCCCTACACCTACCCAGGTAGTGAGCTAAAAACACACCAACATCAGTATAAAAACACCTCAAAAACAGCCCCAAAATGTCCCTGAAAATGTCCCTGAGAACAGCCCCAAACCCTTCAGCAAATGCTCGGGGATGATCAACCAGGCCACGCCCTACACCTACCCAGGTAGTGAGCTAAAAACACACCAACATCAGTATAAAAACACCCCAAAAACAGCCCCAAAATGTCCCTGAAAATGTCCCTGAGAACACCCAAAACCCTTCAGCAAATACTCGGGGATGATCAACCAGGCCACGCCCTACACCTACCCAGGTACGGAGCTGAAACACCCTGAAATGGCCCTGAAAACACCCCAAAAACAATGTAAAAATAGCCCTAAAATAACCCTGAAAACAGCCCAAAATAACCCTAAAAATAGCCCAAAATCAGTGTAAAAATAGCCCTAAAATAACCCTGAAAACGCCCCAAAACCAGCCCCAAAGTGGCCCTGAAAACACCCCAAAATAACCCTGAAAACACCCTAAAATAATCTTGAAATGTCCCCTGAAAACACCCTAAAATCAGTGTAAAAATAGCCCCAAAATAACCCTGAAAACGCCCCAAAACCAGCCCCAAAGTGGCCCTGAAAACACCCCAAAATAACCCTGAAAACACCCTAAAATAATCTTGAAATGTCCCCTGAAAACACCCTAAAATCAGTGTAAAAATAGCCCCAAAATAACCCTGAAAACGCCCCAAAACCAGCCCCAAAGTGGCCCTGAAAACACCCCAAAATAACCCTGAAAACACCCTAAAATAATCTTGAAATGTCCCCTGAAAACACCCTAAAATCAGTGTAAAAATAGCCCCAAAATAACCCTGAAAACGCCCCAAAACCAGCCCCAAAGTGGCCCTGAAAACACCCCAAAATAACCCTGAAAACACCCTAAAATAATCTTGAAATGTCCCCTGAAAACACCCTAAAATCAGTGTAAAAATAGCCCCAAAATAACCCTGAAAACGCCCCAAAACCAGCCCCAAAATGTCACTGAAAACACCCCAAAATAACCCTGAAAACACCCCAAAATAATCCTGAGAACACCCCAAAGTCAGTGTAAAACTATCCCCAAAATAACCCTGAAAACACCCTGAAATATTCCTGAAAATATCCTAAAGCCAGTGTGAAAATAGCCCTAAAATAGCTCTGAAAACACCCCAAAATATCCCTAAAAATACCCCAAAACACCCCTATAAATTCCCCACAAATATCCCTGAAAACGTCCTGAAACCGGCCCCCCAAAATTCCCCAATTTCTCCCCTTTTAGCCCCCAAAATCCCCCCCCAAATTCCCCTCCCCATCCCAAT